CTTATTTCACCTCTAATTAACTGATTGAAATGAACGCTGATTATAAAAGACATAATCTAGTGATTTCTGTAACCAATCAAATTTTATAATCTAATTATAAACGATGACTAACACAATCTTTAAAATATATGAGATATGCTTACATAATTATAATGATGTCAAACTTGATGACAAAAATTTTTAAACGCACGCCTCTTTCATGACACTACAGTTACAATACGACTGTAACGTTGGTTATTAAAATCTGTTATGCTGTTTACCTGTTTACTAATTTGTGATTTTGACATTTCGGGAGTTTGTTTAATATGTTATTATATATGTCAGGCAAATTTTCTGTATCACTTTGTAGATTAAGATTATTATTTTCTCTTAATATGCATTATTTCAGATGTAAGACTTATATGCTAGAAAATAAACCTTACAAGGACGAGACATAAGTACGTATAAAATTTATACGCTGAGAAATATTCACTTAAATCGTTTGAACGATAGAGTTTTGAGCCTGAATATAGTAATCTAATTGAAAAGTGTCTATAAGATCTGTTCTGGCCTCTTATGATCAGAACGAGAGTGAGTATCTAGATCACTTGATAAGGACTCAAAGAAGGGTCGAAACGTTGTGATTAAATAAATAATTTTTGCCAGTACGGTCGAGAGAAGATAACATATATATATATTGCAACGTCTTTTCCTGCTCCGAAACGCCAAATTCGGAGAGGGGAGCGTTCAATTTGAATATTCTGATCGTTAGCGTCAAAAATCGGTAACATAAGAGCTTAACTACTCTTATTTCGGTGTTTTTGGTAACTCACGATAAAGTTGGGCGCCAGGCTCATTTACATGCGCCACGGTAGCGATAAAAACGGGACCTTAGGTATCCCTTCGAAATTCGGCAGTGAGTCGCGGGTCTAGATTGTTCTTATACTATGGCTGAGAGAGAGAGGTATTCAGAGAGACTTACACAGGTTGACATGGATAGACAGATATATTTCAGACAATTAAGACTAATAATTATACATGGAATAGATATAAATTTACAATAGAAGTATATGAGGGAAGTTAACATTTAGGTTAAAGATACAGATAACTATAATGAACAGAGATGAAGATTCCGGTACGACAGTATCGATCGCCAGGATCGACTAATCGAATTTTTATTAACTATGACGGTAATTAACAACTTCTAACAATCTCGCGACAATATTATACAATTAAATATACAGGAATATTCGGTAAACAGTTCGGTCGTTCAAACTCGGTATCTCGGGTACGCGGTATGCACAGAGGTCACATAAACACGAGTCGAGACACGGCGCGATGCAAAAAAAACCGTTAACGATAAGGCGACGGCAATTTCGTGACTCTCTCGCACGACTCTCTCGCCGAGTCGAAAATCGAAATAATTATCATACTCGTGGAGAACAGCTGCACGTAAATTCCGTAAATTGAATAACAGAATAATAAAAAAAAGAAGATCTTACGCACGGTGACCGTGACATAAAACGGTACTCGGAATATACCGACGAACAAGAATGGAAGATTCTCGCTCTCGGAAAGATTGACTGTCGGCGGCACTTCTTGGAGAGGGCTCGACTTGCGAAACTCGAAGTCGGCTGGCCCCGCGGTAACGATACTTAGAGAAAGAGACCGCTCTCTCTAGCACAAGACGACACGATAACGAGACGATACGGTTCTCACGGTAATTACTCTACTTTCTCGCCACTCACGACACCAACCAACACTCACGTACGGTTACCCGAGAGGCGGCTTACAATAAGTGGCGATAAAGTCCGATGTCCTTGCGGGATATAGGCCGGGATCTAGAGGCATCCTCACGTGTGTATGGCTCGCCGAACAATGAAGAGCCGGGCCTCGCGCTTATTGGTACCTCGAGCGCCGCGCTTCCGCGCATTCCATCAATGATAGAGTCGATAGCGGGGGTCCTAGGGTCTCCCGGACTCTCCCCCCCAGCCAGTATAACTTCTCGCCGGGAATTTTGAACGCTGAACAAGAGGATGCTTTCTCCGATATCTCAGACTGGCATTCCTCTTGCGGGATAGGCGGTAGGCTGGCCGAGCCCTCCGTTCGTCCCTCTCCAGAATATGCAATGTGGTCGATACTGTCCTGAGTTCTCTCGGTATTTTATAATATGTCAATTGCATTAATATTGCGCGAGAGATATTTAACTAAATTTCACATCCTGTCTTGCTTTCTCTTGCCGCACAAAATGGCTCCCGGCCGTCCTCTCAGACCGTTGTCGTTGCGCTTCCCAATAACTTCACGGCACGCGCATCGACAGATCGATGCTGCGTGTAAATCCTAGTCCCGCAAAGAAGGTCTTACAAAATATTTATCGCACCCTCCCCGATACGAGGGGCGCTCCAGACCGTCGCGTCCTACCCGGTCGGGCTTTCCGCCCTTGTGACGGCGCTCCAAAGGCGTCACGTTACAATATATATATATATATATATATATATATTACAACGCTCGATTTAGCATCAGGTTATCACCAGATACCGATGGCTGAATACAACAAAAATAAAACGGCTTTCTCAATTTCTTTTGGACACTATGAATTCAATTCAGAATGTTATTTGGACTGAAAAACGCACCTGCGACCTTTCAGCGGCTAATAAATTCAGTATTGACCGGAATTCAAGGGCTTAAATGTCTTGTATATCTTGACGACATTGTCATATATGAATCAAGTTTAGAAAACCATAATAAGAGGCTTACGGAAGTATTGCAGAGACTACGGACACACAACCTGAAACTGCAGCCAGATAAGTGCGAATTTCTACAAAAGGAAGTTATCTACTTAGGGCACATAATCTCGGAAAACGGTATATTACCTGATCCATCAAAATTAGAGACGGTAAAAAATTTTCCGACGCCGCAAAAAGTCAAAAATGTACAGATATTTATAGGGCTCGCCGAATACTACAAAAAGTTAATTCAGGATTTCTCGAAGATTGCGAAACCTCTGACTAAATTAACAAAAAAGGGCAAAGCCTTCGGATGGAACAACAAACAACAAATTGCGTTTGATATTTTAAAAAAGAAACTAATAACGGCACCAATATTGCAATATCCAGATTTCAGTAAAAAATTTAATGTAACCACAGACGCGTTCGATTACGCAATTGGAGCCGTGCTCTCACAGGGGGCCATAGGCAATGACCGCCCTATTGCTTACGCAAGCAGAGTGCTATCTTGCGCGGAGCAAAATTACAGCACAACTGAAAAGGAATTATTAGTAATTGTATGGGCCGTAAAACATTTTAGGCCATACGTATACGGGACAAAGTTCAAAATCATCACAGATCATAAACCATTAGTATGGCTACTCAACGTAAATGACCCCGGCTCAAGGTTAATTCGCTGGAGGTTAAAATTAAAAAAATATGATTACGAAATCATACATAAGGCCGGACGAGCAAACACAAACGCTGACGCACTGAGTCGGAACGTAATCCGAAACGCTGACTCGAGCGAAAGAATGGAAGAAATATGCAAGACAGAAAAAGGAGAGGTAAACGACTCCGATAATGAAAGAGTGTACACCAAAGAGGGAAAACGACAGATAATTTATGAATATCATTGTTTGAGATGTTAAGTAAAATTTTTGTAAATTCTAGAATTATCCATCCGCGTCAATAATAAAAGTCACGGTCTTTTTTGTATGTTTGTCACGGTAAAAAACTGTCATAAATTAAACCTGTCATCTCAAAAACATTCTTTGCACACAAACAATTAGCGGTATCGCAACCGCTTTCACCGGATACTTTTCGCGCTACAAGCATGCGCAAAATTGCCACGCGGCCTCGATCACCAATTAGAAAGAGCGAGCGGCCGCGCGCGCATGGCAAGACGCGAGTTCGTTGCGCATTTTAGAAAAGCGGCCAATAATGAGCTGTGCCCTCGAGTCACCTCGAGCACAATTTAAATTGCTCGCAATAATTGGCGCTTCCCGAAAAAGTGGGTTTTCTTCGGAAACCCATAAAAGAGAGCTCGCACCCGAAAACCGGGCCTTATCGCTTTCCGCAGTGACCGCATAACGCAAACCGCATATTATTTGATCCGCAAAAATCTCGTTGACGACCGCCGCTTATTCCGCACTTTGTTCTCGATTCTATTTTCACTGAAATAATTAACTGTTATAATAAGTCTTGTTCAAGTATTTTGTAATTAAGTGTATATTGAAATTAAACTTTTTTTGATACAAAAGAAAGGGTGACTTATCCTGTTGTGTCGCGCGATCCTCTCTCACGCAGCGCGTTCGCGAACATATTTCTGGTCCTTCGAGCCGGATCACGTCGTGCCGGCATCCGCAAGTTTGTGAACGTGTCTTTTGGTGCAGTCAGTGAGTTCGTAGTTCGACATGGATGTGAACACCTTGATCGATTGCCAACGTGAGATCCAAGTCCGTATTTCACGCTCCGTGGAATACTTGAAGAAGCTGGGCACGACCAACATTACCGCCAGTGCCGTATCTACACGCATCAGGATCCTAGATCAGCTGTGGACGAAATTTGAGGCACAGCATGATCATTCGCGCGGCTCTGAAAGAGAAGTTTAGTGAGAGCGAATACTTCAAGTCGGAGTTGCATGGAGATACTGAAAATCTTTACGTGACACAACGCAGTATCTTGGATGGCTACGCTGAACATTTCCGGAAGCCAAACGTATCTCCATCAGTCGACGTTGCATCAAAGTTTTCGCTGCCGCGCATCAAGTTGCCGCCGTTCTCTGGCGCCTACGCTGATTGGCCGTCATTTCGTGATCTCTTCCTGTCCGTTGTGAGCAGCAATTCCATCTCGAACATCGAGCGCCTTCACCACCTCCGCTCATGTTTGACAGGTCAGGCTGAAAAATTGATAAGATCACTACCTGTCACAAGTGACAATTACGATCGCGCTTGGGCAATCTTGAACAAGCATTACGATAACAAAAGAGAGTTAATCCGCTCCAACTTTGCCACGTTTACCGCCGTGCCAAAGATGAAGGGAGATACCGCTGAGGAGCTGAGCCGCATCCACAACGCTGTCACCGCCGCCATCAATGCACAGGAGAGTATTGGACGTCCTATCAACACGCACGGGATGGACCTGTTCAATCACCTGGTCATCGAATTGTTCGACGCACGCACTCGTCTCGAATGGGAGTCAGCCACGTCAGACTCCACCGAACCACCACAGAACGAGGCACTTTTCGACTTCATTAGTCGACGGGTATTGACCCTCAACGCCGCACGACCGAGGAGTGTCACAAAGGGACCTGGAGAGGCATCACGATTCGCCAAAGCGCACGTCACCAGACATCAAGGCACAGATTCGCCTCAGTGTGCACTGTGTCGTGAAAAACATACACTGATAACCTGCAAGGAGTTCAAGGCCAAGACCGCGGTCGAACGGAAAACATTCGTGGAGACCAACCGATTGTGCTTCAACTGCCTGGGCAATCACTTCTTGTCACGGTGTCAATCAAAAAAGAATTGCCTCACTTGCAACGCACGACACCACACCATGCTGCACGGGGCATCCACGTCACCACCGTCCGCTGAGGCCACTTCACTTGCCACCACACTGGCCACCTCACGGCAGTTTGAGAGTCACAAGGCCGTCCTTCTTGCAACTGCTCGCGTCAAGGTCGCGGACCGCTACGGATCACCACACGAGGTTAGAGTCTTGATCGACCAGTGCTCCGAGGTGTCCATCATCTCTGAAGCACTGGCTCAACGTCTTCGTCTTCCTCGAGCTTCGACGGATCTGTCCATCTTTGGCATCGGAGGGACTCGCTGGATCGGCTCGTGGCAAGGTTACCCTGGACATCACATCCGACGTGACCAACGCCGAGCTTCGCGTGGTCGCCTTTGTGCTGCCTCGCATCTCACTACAACAAGGCACCGCCCAACGCGAGAATTGCAGCTGGCCTCACATCCAAGGACTCCGACTGGCCGACCCGCGGTACCTGGATGACGATCCTGCGGAGCTACTTCTTGGTGCAGAGGTCTACTCGTTGATCCTTGAGGAAGGCCTTCGTAAGGGCGACTCACGCATGCCGATCGCCCAGCAGACCAGCTTAGGATGGATCCTGTCCGGAGGCTACGACTCAGCAGTCACCGACGGACATCGCCGCACGTTTCAGTGCACTGCCGACAACGACCTCGCTGACCTGGTGCGACGATTCTGGGAGCAGGAACGCGAGCCAGCAGCTGGGATCTTGCTCACCGCCGACGAAGCCAGATGCGAGGACATCTATGTGCGCACAGTCACACGCACATCCAGTGGAAGATACGTGGTGAGGCTGCCATTTGCCTCACCGCCGACATCACTCAGCGAGACTCGTCGACCTGCAGAGCGCCTCCTGGAAGCAATGGAGCCGAAGGGAGCCCGTGATGCTCGGTTCGGTGATCTCTATCGAGACTTCATGGACGAGTACGAAAACCTGCAACACATGGAGAAGGTTAGTACGTCTACAACAGGTTCTGGCCCCAGGTGCTACTTACCGCATCACGGGGTCCTCAAGGAGTCGAGCACGACCACGAAGCTCAGGGTTGTGTTCAACGGCTCCCAACGCACACGGTCCGGAGAGTCGCTGAACTCGCACCTCCTCACTGGAGCTAATCTCTTGCCAGCACTCGCTGACGTCTTACTCCGTTGGCGTTGGCATCGGTACGTTTTCGTCACGGACATCGAGAAAATGTACCGACAAATTCTTGTGCATCCGGAGGATTGTCGCCTGCAAACCATCCTGTGGCGCCACAACAGCTCAGACAACATCCACGAGTACGAGCTGAAGACCGTGACCTACGGACTGGCGTGCGCACCCTTCCTCGCCATCAGGACTCTTCAACAACTTGCCGCAGACGAAGAGGCACGCTCTCCACGCGGAGTCAGGGCGCTGCGACACGACTGTTACGTCGACGACGTGGTCACCGGTGCTGACAGCCTAGCGGATGCTGTCGAACTCCAACAGGAACTACAAAGGCTCTGCATGGCGGGCGGATTTCCTTTGCGAAAGTGGGCTGCCAACAATCAGCTGGTACTCACCGGAATTCCACCGGAACATCGGCTTCAACGCGGACCGCGCTCGTGGGAAGGAGAGAGCCACGCCACCCTGGGTCTTCGATGGCATCCTCAAGGGGATTGGTTCTCCTTCACCATACGTCCACGTTCAATCACCGACCACACGAAGAGACGAGTCTTGGCCGAGACAGCTCGACTATTCGATCCGATGGGCTGGCTAGCGCCTGTCGTCATCCGAGCCAAAATTTTGATCCAGTCTACGTGGCTTCAACGGCTGGATTGGGACTCTCCGCTGCCTGATCAGGACGCACACCGCTGGAAACAACTGTTGAATCAACTTCCGTTGCTGGATCACATCCGTGTGGATCGTTGGCTCAGCACCGGAGATGACCAGTCGCAATTGCAGCTCCATGGGTTTGCCGATGCATCGGAGCGAGGATACGCCGCCGTCGTGTACATCCGTAACGCTGCAACAGAGAAAACATCAATTAATCTGCTGATGGCAAAATCGAAGGTCGCACCAGTCAAGCAGGTGTCGTTACCTCGATTGGAACTTTGTGCCGCCGCATTACTCACCACGCTCATGCTGCATGTACGCACTACCCTCGGCTTGGCTGCTACGCCGGTGCACCTGTGGTCTGACTCTAAGATCACTCTTCACTGGATCGACGGACACTGCACGGGGGTGTGCAGCTGACACTCGGCCTGCTCCGCCTGCGCTTCTGGGTACCTCGAGGAAGAACCGCCGTCAAGCAGCAGCTACATTGATGCGTTACCTGCACTCGATGGCGTGCTGCCACGCCACAGCCTCAGATGGGTAACCTTCCTCGGGACCGAGTAACGCCAACCCGACCGTTCCTCAGCACCGGCGTGGATTACGCAGGACCCATCCTCCTCCGGACCAGCAAGGGACGTGGACACCGTGCGCACAAGGGGTACATCGCAGTCTTCGTCTGTTTCTGGTCGAAGGCCACTCACTTGGAAGTCGTCTCCGACTACACCTCAGAGACTTTCATCACCGCTCTGCACCGCTTTGTCTCCCGCAGGGGCCTTTGTGCTGAGATTTACAGCGACTGCGGCACGACATTCATCGGGGCAGATCGTACGCTGCGAGGTCTCTTCGATGCAGCGACAGCCGAAGGTCATCGTATCGTCCTTGCCGCCACCGCTCAAGGAATCCGCTGGCACTTCAACCCGCCAGCGGCCCCGCACTTTGGTGGTCTTTGGGAGGCTGCAGTGAAGTCGACCAAATTCCACCTCCGTCGGGTGATCGGCGAGACCACCCTCACGTTCGAGGAGCTGAGCACACTCCTCGCCCAGATCGAAGCTTGTCTTAATTCTTGTCCGTTGCAGGCACTCTCAGATGACCCAGAGGACGTCTCGGCGTTGACCCCTGGTCACTTCCTCGTCGGGGCGCCGCTACTTGCTGTGCCGGAACCGTCATTGACAGGGCAGACGGTATCCACCTTGTCACGCTGGCGTCATTTGCAGCAGATGAGAGATCACTTCTGGCAGCGATGGTCATCCGAATATTTGCACGGACTAGCCTCACGCACCAAATGGCTCAAGGACGAAGCTGCACCCCACGTCGGCGATCTCTGCCTCGTGCGCTCCGAGCTCACCCCACCGAGCCGATGGCCACTGGCTCGCATATCGCGACTGCACCCCGGGGACGATGGGATTGTACGCGTGGTGTCAATCCGAACGGCCACGTCCGAGCTTGTGCGCCCACTCGTCAAGCTTGTTTTCCTCCCGGGCGTGAACGACGCACCTACACCGCACGCTGACACTTCGTAACGTCACTCATTACACAATCATCATATCATGCATCATAGCATCTGTCGCACGTCACTCATCTCATCCACCACCGCACAAAAAATTATTTTGTTATCACCGCTCACTGCATTGCACACTCGCCGTTCACATCAACCACGCGTTTTCGCCGGATCAGCTGATTATTTCACACCACGCGTTCACCACGTGCTCTCATCGGCTCAGCTGATCGATTCACACCTCGCGATCCACCACGTGTATTTCGCCGCGCCGGCGCGCCCGCCCCACCATCGATCGCTATCGGAATGTGATCCGCGCCGGAACCACCAACCTTTGTCACGTTGCGACAAGGCGGGCGGGAATGTTTGAGATGTTAAGTAAAATTTTTGTAAATTCTAGAATTATCCATCCGCGTCAATAATAAAAGTCACGGTCTTTTTTGTATGTTTGTCACGGTAAAAAACTGTCATAAATTAAACCTGTCATCTCAAAAACATTCTTTGCACACAAACAATTAGCGGTATCGCAACCGCTTTCACCGGATACTTTTCGCGCTACAAGCATGCGCAAAATTGCCACGCGGCCTCGATCACCAATTAGAAAGAGCGAGCGGCCGCGCGCGCATGGCAAGACGCGAGTTCGTTGCGCATTTTAGAAAAGCGGCCAATAATGAGCTGTGCCCTCGAGTCACCTCGAGCACAATTTAAATTGCTCGCAATAATTGGCGCTTCCCGAAAAAGTGGGTTTTCTTTGGAAACCCATAAAAGAGAGCTCGCACCCGAAAACCGGGCCTTATCGCAGTGACCGCATAACGCAAACCGCATATTATTTGATCCGCAAAAATCTCGTTGACGACCGCCGCTTATTCCGCACTTTGTTCTCGATTCTATTTTCACTGAAATAATTAATTAACTGTTATAATAAGTCTTGTTCAAGTATTTTGTAATTAAGTGTGTATTGAAATTAAACTTTTTTTGATACAAAAGAAAGGGTGACTTATCCTGTTGTGTCGCGCGATCCTCTCTCACGCAGCGCGTTCGCGAACAATCATGATGCGCCCATTGGAGGACATCAGGGAATAGAGAGAACAATTAAGAGGATCTGTTTAAATCATGATTGGCCGGGTTTAACGAAAGACGTCAAAAAGCACATCGCCAAGTGTGAATCATGTCAAAAAAATAAATTGTTGCGGAAAAACAAGGCGCCGTTAATAATTACAGATACGCCTAGCGAGCCATTCGAAAAATGCGCATTAGACATCGTAGGGCTGTTAACAGTAACTACAAATGGAAGTAAATATTTATTGACATTTCAAGACATCCTAACAAAATTCAGTAAGGCGATACCAATACCTAACCAGGAAGCCGGCACAATCGCGAAGGAGTTTGTAACAAAAATAATTCTAGAACACGGAATACCGGAAAAAATTTTAACAGATCAAGGGACAAATTTTTTAAGTGAAATATTCAAAAACACATGCAAACTATTAAAAATAAAAAAATTGCAAACAACCGCGTATCATCCGGAAACAAATGGGGCACTCGAACGGTCACATAGGACGTTAGCGGAATACCTTCGGCGTTATATTGACGCTGATGAGACCGACTGGGATGAATGGACGCCTTATGCAATGTTCACTTATAATACGACCCCACACAGTGCAACGGGATACACGCCTTTTGAGCTGATTTACGGACATCAAGCCAACCTACCGACGGCATTAACCAAACCACCGAGGGCTACTTACAGTTACGATGACTACGTCTAAGAGCTTAGGGAAAGGTTAAGGGCCACACAACAAATTGCAAAGGATCGCGTAAACGAGGAAAAAATCAAATAAAAAAAATATTATGATAAAGACGCAAAAGAATCGACGATCCAAGAAACTCGACGCTCTTTGGACAGGACCATACATAATAACCAAAAAAATTCTGACGTCAATTACACCATAAAAAAGGGAAGGCGGATGATACGAGTACATGTATATAAAATAAAACAATTTATAGACAACTAAGAAAAATACATACCCCGAGACGACTAGATCACGACACGCAAAAAACAGTTTATATATCCAATGGTATCTAGTAGAATAATAATAATAATAATAATAACTTTAATCCTAATATCTATTATTGCCATTGTAGTTTGGAAAATAAAAAATAAAAAAGACACTAAAAGAAGACCGAGAGTAACGATACTTGACGATGACTGGAATTTACCTAGATCCATACTAAAAAGAAGCAATAGCACACATTTTTAGAAAAATAGAAACGATTATAATTATTATACTTATAAAAGGCAATAAGAGCTAATTAAGTTCCGTTATTAACATTTATTTGTGAAAAAAAATTTTTGAACATAAAATATTAGACAAAAAAAGTTCGAACGTTTCGGTTGCCTTTTCCAACTTTCTTCAGCGCATCATTTAAAATTAAAGATTAATAGAAATTAACAATAAATTATTCATAACTGTCAATATACTAAAACTATACAGAAACATAGTTATTCACATAAAACTACGTCAAGATATTATTTTTATAAAAAACGAAATCAACGCATTTTTTAAAAGCATAAGCAATTTTATATATTCTATTCCTCGAATCGTCATTTAATGTAATTGTCGCGAAACAGATCTCTCGCTAATTGTTCGGTTAGGAGGTCAGTTGCGAATCTCGATAACAGCAATTGTTAATATGTCTATAAAATCATTATATACGAAAAATTAACATTGAAAGATAAGTAAATTAATGAAAATGGACTTACAGTTAAATCGAGTAAGATGTTATATTGTGACGTGAAGGCTTACAGACATTAATAGCTCGAGGTAATAACATATGATTTTTAACTCTCAGAGAGACGACCGCACAACTGAGAAAATAGTTAGTTGTTCATGTTTTTTAACTTTCAAATCTTTGGTAGCCCATGTATAATGTCGTCATAAATTACTGGCAAGCCATCAATATCTGTTTTTAAATTGAGACTGTTATTTTGCCTTTTTATAAATATCATCTCTGAAATTAATCTTTTATTATATTGTGCTTCTTTATCAAGTATTTTTACATCGTCCCAACAAAATTCATGATTATGTTGTAATCTATGGTCAGTGATTACCGATTTTTTTACATTTCTGTGTATATTGGATCGATGTTCAGATATTCTAGTAGATAATTTCCTACTAGTCTGACCAACATACGATGCATTACAATCTTTACAGTCTATCTTATATATAACATTGGTATTTGAACACTTAGGAATAGAATCTTTATGTACTTTAATATATTTATTCAAATTTGTTAAGACTATAAAAAAAGAGTTTACCATTCAAATCTTTAATGATGTTTCTATATTGTTCAGTGAGTGTCGGTAAGAATGGGGTGCAGAAATACGAGACCTTTGAATTTTGGTCATTCTTGTTTGTAAGACTATTCCGTTGTTCTATTAAATGTTTTAGTCTTTGATTCATAGTGTCAAAAATCAATTTTAGAGGATAGTTTTTTTTGAGTAATATTTTGATTACTAACTCTAAATTTTCTTTGTGAAATTCTGGGTTTGATAATAAAAAGGCTCGATCTACCAACCTCATTATCGTACCTCGTTTTTGACTCATAGGGTGTTGAAAAAGGAAGTTCAGATATCTAGCAGAAAACGTTTTTTTATGATACCAATTATATATGATGTTGTTATTTTTTAATACCAATGTTAGGTCGAGAAAATCAATTTTATTATTATCTTGAATTTCAAGAGTAAACTGGATTCTATTGTGAAAAGAATTAAATAAATTTAATGTGTGATCTATGGCATCCGATGGAGCAGCCATTATTATATCATCTATGTATCTAATGTATGTGGGTGGACAAAACTTTAGTAGTTGAAGAGCTTTATTTTCTAAATCTTGCAGTACAATATCCGTGCTGAAGAAGGTAA